GGGAAAGGCCGGGGAGCGGCCGCCCGGGGGAAAAAGGAAGGAAAGGGAAGGGAGGGAAAGAAGGAAGCGTCCCGGGGGATGGAGATGCGTCGGGCAGATGACAAGGCCGAGCGGGGCCCCACGCCCTTGCGCCGCTGCCCTGACAGCTCCGCATCCATCCATCCATCCCTCCATCCATCCATCCATCCATCCACCCTTCCCCCGCTCCCCGCTCCATCCCTCCGCGGGGCCCCACAGCTGCGTACGGCGGTCCCGCCGCCTCCCCCTCTGCATTACGGCATTGCCCACCCCCGCCCCGCTCCGGCCCCCGCGCCCCCCTCACCTGGCGCGGGGTGTCCGCGGGAGACGCGGGCGGTGCGGGGTCAGCAGCCGGCGCGGCAGCGCAGCGACAAGAACCCGGCCATCCCCATCGCCGCCTCCACCGAGGCCGGGAGAACCCCCCCCCGCCGCCGGGAAAGGGAGCGGGAAGGGCGAGGGAGGGAAGGAGGGAGGGGAGAAAGGGGAGGAGGGAGAGCGAAGCCGCGCCGGGAGGAACGGGCGCCGCGCTCGCCTCAGCGCCGCTCCCGCACTGAGGGGCCGCGGACTGCGCGCCCGCCCCGCGGGGGGGGCGCCGCCCGCTCCGCCAATCACCGCCCGCCGCCGCGCCCACCGCGCCGCAACCCGCCAATGGTGCGGCGAGGAGCCCACGAGAGCCCGCCCCCCGCGCTGTCAATCACGGCCCGACCGCAGCGGCACCGCCCTCCGAGCGGATCCCTCCGCGCCCCTCCCCCGGACGCTGCACCGCCCCGCCGCGCTGTGTCCCTGCGCGCCTGAGGGGGACGCGCGGCGTTCCCAGAGATGCGAGGGGAAGCGGGCGCTTCTAGCTCAAAAAAGCAGGGATACGGCGTAATGTGTGGAGAAACGGGCACTTGTGGCTGAAAAAAGCAGGGATACGGTGTGATGTGAGCGCTGGTTGGCGCCCCCGGCTCGAGGGCCCGAAGTGAGGGTGGGGGCTGCAGAAACGCGGGGTCTGAGGGAGCGAATTCCCCAGCTCCCGAATTCAGTGCGGTTCAGTGGGATTTGGAGTCCTAAACTAGGCCTAAGGCTTGTAGCTCTGAGGGGAGGGATTAATTATCCCCTGCTCTCCTCTTCAAAACGTTTTTCTGAGCAGCCTAAATTATATTTGTAGAGCTCCTAATGTATTTTCAAGTAAATGATTACATTTAGTCAGTAGTCCTGTATTAGCTCTCGTACTTTCAATAATTTCATGTGTATTCTTATAGTAAATTTTTATTTTTGTGGCAATTATTAGCTGTAAAGTTCCTCCATTCCGGTAGCACTTTGATAATTTCTCCTGTTAGAAATAGGCTTAAGTATCTAAGCATTTTGAAAAAAATTAACATTATATTAAATACTTTAATTACATATTTGTCATAAATCATCACATACAAATTGGATTTAAGCTGTGGAGAAGATTCAGGACCTGGGATTTGTAGTTTCAGAACAAGGTTTATTTTTGTTCACAGGCTCCTGGCTATTTGCTGTGTTAATCTACACTCTGTCCCTTAAGTTTCAGATTTTCGGGAGAATGAGTTGTTATTTTGTTTAGTGAAAAGTGACTGTTTCCCCTTGCCAGCCTCATCTGCAGTTACGCCAACAAATGCAAAAGCCAAACAATCCATGGCTGAGCAGGGGCTTTAGGGAAATATTGCCACAGAACCAACAAATCAAAAATAGGTGGCTTTCCTCTGCCCTAGAAAATACCATTATTTGAACTTTGGAATACTTCCTGTGGAGAGAACAGATGATTTAATGGTGTTTTTAATGTGGTGTAACTTCTACCTGGGGCTGTGTAGAATTAGGTCAGCTATATATTCCCTGGGGAAAAAAAAAAAGGCAAAAACGCCTCAAAAAAACGAAAACCTGTTTTAAAATCCCCTGCAAACTGTTCAAATACTGGGTGTGTGCTGTAACCCTCCGTGGCAATAGACACTGTGATTCATTTTCCTTCAGCAAAGTTTGTGTAGTGTCTCCTAGGAACAGCAGTTCCTGCATCAGCCTCATGCCCAAGTTTGGGGAGGGCTCACCCAGAACAGCTCCAGGACGTTAATTCAGTTACTGGATCACAGAGCTCGAAAAATCTGCCAGAAACAGTCCGAGAAAATCAAGTTGCACGTTGGGAAACAGCAAAGGGCAGGACGTGCTGTGTGGCATCTGGGACGTCACTCACTGCCAAGGGAGCCGAGGCAAATGCCTCTTAAATATTCAAGTACAGAGTAGAAAGGTGCTCAAGTATTTCTCTAAATGGTTGTGATGCCTTTTCAATTATTGAATTCGGCATTTTAACTCAATTTAATCAGAATTGCCTTCTCAATATCATTTTTTGAAAATCAGATATCCTTGGGTAATTTAGAGTTATCAAAAAATGTACTTAAGTGGAATTCTACTGCATTCTTTTGAGAATCCTGTTTAAAAAGTTCTTGTCAAGTCCCTTACAGGAAAGGGGCCATTCTTACTCCTTTTATGTTTCTGACACCACCACACAACCCTGAAAAGAGCAGAAACATCCAATTCCCTGTAAGCAGGTGTGTGCTTAAATCTAGAATTTAAGATACTCCTTTTCAAGAAAAGTCACACAATGAAGGCCAAGAAAAGTGTTCTTGAGCATTATTATTCCAGAAAAATGAAAGTAAGTAGTAATTTCTTGCATTTATTAGTACAAAGAAATACAGTTGGTTACTCAAATGCTACCTAAAACAGGGGAGCCTGTTTAAATACAGGCAAGAGGGGAGGTTTAAGTGATGAGGAAAAGAGAGCTACACTGTAGAGCAATGCTCCTGGGGGCTGGTAGAGTAAATCTGTTGCTGGCTGACAGCAGGGTTGTCATCCTGCTATTAAACAGCATTAGCTGTCCTTGCTGCCAGCAGGGGAGAGTTGACAGAGATGTAAATTGTGCCCTTACATAAGTATAAATTGTGATATAATAGAATCAATTGTGCTGAACTGTATTGCTGTAACATCAGCACTTGCCCCAGGAATTTTTCTAGTCTGGAGCTGGAGCACAAGTAGAGACCAGTGATACGACCTTATATTAAAATTTTCCAAGAAAAGCCCATTTTGCAACATTTGTATTTGTTACCCATTCCTGGGCTGAGCCATTCCCAGCTCAGATATTTATATTCTGCAGATACAGGTCAGTGTCAAATGTAACTCGACCATTGATAGTTTCTGTGATCTCTAACACAAAGTCTCTGTATTATAGTGAGGTTACAGTTGGATTGAAGAAGGGAAATGACACGTTAATGGGGAAGGGAAATCACAAAAAACTGCAGGTAGCATTAAATTAATTAAACTAAGAATTGTCCCACAACTGATACGCTTTTGTGGGAGATTTATTTTTAATCCAGCATCAGCTTTGCTTTTCAGTTCCTCAAATGTCCACTGAAAGAGAGGGGTTTGGTTCACTTTTGTGCCTGGACAGCAATAGAATGGCCCTTCCAGCTGCTCCTATTAAAGTACATTCCATTATTCTGCCCATGAGAGCTGAATTTGGGAAAGCACTTGTCTGAGCTCACACCTTTGAAATACTTGATACTAGTTCTCCAGATAAAATTGTTTGGGCCACTTATTTCAAGCCTTAGTGTCTTGTGCAATATCTGCATTGACATATTTTCAAATGATAGATGTGTGCCATAATTAGACAAAACATTCCAGTAATGCACTTTGCTATTTATACTCCTCAGGTCAGAGCCTGACACAATGGCAGAATAAATTCAGATTCTGAAGGGCATTGTCTTGGTTAATACATCCCACAGCAAAGGTAAATATTTCTATTTCCTCCTGTCAAAAAATAAAAATACCGAATTTTCATTTTATTGAAAACAGCTCACCCATACAGAATTCCTGGTAAAACATTTAAATTCACAAGCCTCTTTGATATTGGTTACAACATTTCAAATGTAAAATATCAAGAACTCTTAGAGAGCAGCAGACCTCCAGCCCTGCACTGGCTACACTAAAGCAACCAGCTGGTTTTAATTTAAGGCTGGATTATTTCTGCTTGTGCTCTTCTCATTTTATTAGACTGCTCCTTATTCACCAAAGGTGCTGGTGTGTCTAATTTGTAATAGCTGGAGAAAATCAGAGAAGAAAGCATTTCTTCCCTCTTTCCAACACATTCATAGTCTGGCAATAAAAGTAATATATATTAACATGCAGGAAAAAAAGCCATAATGTGAAACCATAGCAGTTCAATCATTCTCTAATAAAAACAAATATACACCGTGGACAGTTGCCCTCCATCAAACAAAGAATAAATTTTGGGATGTTTCTAGACATTTCTTTCAATGATCCTTAATAAAGAGGGGACAGTGAAACAAGTAAGAGGAAGAAATTCCCTCTTCACCAAAGAAGAGCTCACAGCTCACCCAACCCACAACACAGCAGAATCCAGGCTGGGTTTGGGTGCTGAGGGACAGCCTGCAGGGAAAAGCAGAGCAGGCTTTGTTCTGTGACTTCTGAAGAGGGGGATTTGAGTTTGTGGAAGGAGTGAAGGTTATAATTATAAAACTGTTCCAGCAGTCCAGGCAGACACAAGCTTTGGAATCCTCCTCCCGTGGAGTAAAGAAACACACGTTCACACTCTGCAAGGGGAAGCACCGCTGAAAAAAACCCCCACAATCAATCAAACAAAAAAACCCCCACTATATCTTCACATTTAATAATTTAGAGTTATTTGCACAGCTCAGAGGTGAACCTGCATTATATATAACCTGCCCCAAAGTCCCCCTGGAGCTGTCAGCAGCTGTCCCGTGCTATGAATAGGTGTTCGGTGTCACCTGCCGGGAGCATTCCTGAGCTCAAAGCATTGCTGAGATCTGTGTGCACAGACATTTTACACAGAATTTCCTAAGTTATCTCCAATCCTAAACCATATCAGCAAAGCTGAACAAAGCCACCCAACCATTTGTATTTTTTATATTTTCACGGACACACTTCCAAAGAAAGACCCAGCAAACATTCTGTGCGAGTGTGTATCATTTATTGTAGTTCAAGAGAGTCAGGAATTGAACAGAAGACACGGCGAAAAAACAAATAAAAGAAAAACAACCTGTTTTTTCAGACTTAATTTTAAAACACTGTGGTTTCAAATCCTTTTTAAAAAGGAAATTCAAGTATCATATGCAGGGGGCAGTAATACAAAAATGTTTGTGAATATTTTTTTTTTTCATTTTTTTTTTTAAAAACGTAATTCTACATTTCCTGCACCCTTTCTGCTTTGGTAAGGCCAAGCCATGGATACAAATTGGTAGCAACATAAAAAAAATGACCCCTGCCCCAAACTGCAGCCTCCAAGGATAAAAGTATCTGCTCTCTGTGGACAAGCTCGAATGGCTCAGAACTGTCAGTTAGCATATATCATATCTGCAGCATTGAAAGAATGGATTTCTTTTGTTTCAAAGTCACTGAAATCCTGGTATTCCCAAGCATCTCATTCATGGCAGCTGTTTTAACATATTTCTATCTCGAGGCTTTTCACAAATACCAGAGCGTCTTGATCAACGTAAAGGAAAGGGACATTTCAAGGAATGGAAATTAAAATCCGTGTGTGAAGTCTTTGCTCTTTTGAAATTATCCTTGTGTCTAACACCAATTAAAAACCAAATAGGCAAATGTGTGTAATATAAAAATACGATCCCAAGATGAAGCTTTGTTGCAGGCACAGTTATCGCACAGAATATGTTCTTTTGAGGGCAGGGGAATGATTTTGATTTTCACAGGGTTCGTTGGGGGTTTTTTTTGCATTACAAAAAGAGAAAAAAAAAAAGAGACAGCAGTGCAGGTTTGATGGGTGGAACAGAAAGAAGGGAGGGAAAGAGGAAAAAGTTACTTTAGCAGCAAAATGTCCAAGGTTCTAACCACAATCAAATTAACGGATATCTGGCGGTAAAAAACAAGGTTGAAGGGATGCTGCCCTGATCCATTCGTCTTTGCTAAAATAATTCAGCTGTAAAAACTCCAAAATGTGACATATTGAAGGACAGTTTTGTAACATAAGCAACTTCCTAGCTTGTCCTCCATGTTATTGACCATCGTTATCACTTAAATATATGTACAAGAATTAAGCTGCTTTTCTCCTCGGCCACATGCTCCTGGTCACTACTGAAGTCAGTGCCGTGGGCGTGCTAATCCCATAACAGCTTCCAAGGGTTTCTGCTCCACTACTGCCACAACAGCCCACGCCCTGCTCTCCCCACTGCTGTTGGCGTGCACTGCAAGGGAGTTCCTAATGGTCATTCTGCTTGTCTCTCATCCAGGCTTGGATTTGCTCTTTAAGTTCTGGCACTGATAGGGTAAAAAAAAAAGAAAAAAGAATGATTAAATTACTTAGTAGTACTACTATAAGAGAGCTCCTCATGACCAATCGAGATTTCTTCTCTAGAGACCTGATCAGGACTATCTACTACTGTTGTCTTCTCTCTCAATGCAGTTTCTGCACAGCTTTGGGTAAATTAATGTTTCATTTATATATCATAACATTTCTCAGCCCAGTAGTTATGAAGAGCTATGAGGGTTTTTTCCTCCCCCAGAAAAAGGGAAAGCAGAAGGAATGAACTTTTCTGTGCAAGTTGAGATGAAAGAACTGTTGCCTCTACTGAGGCCTCACCACTGTCCTCTGAAAGCACAGACCTGCTCACAAACTGCTTCCCCCAGCCCACAGGTCCAGCTGCTCCACAGTACCTGGTTCCAGCATGTTTTCCGTCAGCGTCTGACGATTGAAAGGATCAGTGGATGAGTTCAACAGGTGCCTCAGGATGATCGACCTGTCCATGATTGTTCCGGATGGCAACCTCACAGGGTCAGTCATCAGGGTGTCCATGAGCGGATCTGAGGGCACAAGTTGTCTCCTCATTAGCTATTTTCACCTGATTTTCAGGTCTGGGGGGCATTTTTTTACTGTTTTCAAGTACATGTAAGCAAAGGATGGCTAGGATTGGACAATCCCAGGGAAAAACAAAGGAACTCTTAGCTCCCCGTATTTACTTACCTATTTAGTTGAAACAGAGCAGGATGCAAGGCTTCATAAATAATACCTAAGTTTCTATTAACATATAGAATTGAAGTAACAAACCAAATCCCTCTTCTAGACAGTCACTGCTTAAGAAACTCCACTTGCCTCTGAATTCATCCGGAGCATCGCTGTAATCAATCTCTGCACGGGCATTCTTGGCAACAATTTCCTCCACTTTCTCTGCCAGCAGTTTGAATTTCTCTATTGCTATGGTGGACTTGATTCCAGCCTTTCTCATCTTGGAGATCACCTCCTCAAAGAGCTCTTTACTGTAGGACCTCTACAAGCAAAGCACAAAAAGACAACTTTGCTGAGTTGTAGGATCCTCGCCTGCCATAAAAATGCTAAAGATATTTTAATGCACTTTTAAAACTGCAGAAGAAGGGATCAATGAAACCTCAAGCTGACATCAGACTCAAAAGCAGTATGTGGTAACATTTCATCTAGCACCAAAAGGTCAACTTTGGGGTAGACTTATGATTCTTTTTTTACTAGTCATCACTAGACTGTAGGACTGTTCAGGACCAAAAAAAGGCAACATCACCTAAAGAAAATGAGGAAGACACTCAGAGAGGCTGACTATAATTATCAGGATTGTTCCTCACACAAAACATCTGTCTTGCCACTCTCCTGTCTATTATTGTTCTCACAAGTCTTGGCTGAAAACACAGCACGAAATGAATTTATTTTTTTAATTTCTTAATTTCTCTGTTAATGTGCAAGGCAGTACTGGGAAAGAAGTGATTCTTTCTCCTAATCCAAACAAGAACTAACAGAAAAGCCACCCCATGATGTTGCAAAAATAGTAAGGCAGCTCAGAGGGAGCGAATGCTGGAGATTTGCCAACCGGTGCAGTAGGAATATCCAGAGGGACCAAACGCATATCCTGTAGTTCCCACAAAGCAAGCATTGCTCTCATGTGAAAAACCAAGCTAGGGAAGGACTTTTGTAGCTGCTTCTGTTCTACAGACACCGTTTCCTTTTAACTTCACAGTGCCGTGTTTTGACGTAAACCTTTTCGTAAAAAAACGCTATTTACACTGCAGTGCAAGGTTGAATTACATGACAAAACAAAACACACTGAGTCTCACAGATTTCTGTTTCCCTTGGGATTTTTGAAGTGTTCAACGCAGCCTCACTTCTTTCATCTACACCACATGGCACCAAGCAATGCCATTCAGCACTCGGGACACACAGTGCCCACCCAAACTCCTTTCTAGTGCAGAGAGAACAGAGCTGTGGCAACACGCCCGGGGCTGCAGAAACGTTTGCAGATTCCCTCTCAAACGTGCTGGGATTTGCAAATGGGACACAGCTCAAAATGCTTTAGAGAGACCCCGCCATGATCAAGCAACTTTTTGTTTGTTTTGTTTTATTCTCCCAATCCCAGCAGCCATTAACCAGCCACACATTTCCTTGGTGGTTCTTTCCTGTCCCTGACAGTTTCCAAGATACTGGTCACTCCCCCCACTCCTTTTTCATGAAGGGCCACTTTGTTAATGGAGCTTTTT